ATTTGCAGCGTCTTTGAGCTGGTACCACAAAAAAAAACCCCGCGAAGCACGCCTTGGCACCCAGAGACAATCCCACTCCCTCCCAGAGACACAGCTGGGCGCGTCCACACCCCCGCATCCCATACACCATGTTGTGCGGAAGGACTTCTACTCCCAGCCTGTGTCGTTGATGTCAGACCCCAGGCCAGCCTCAGGGCGCTGCAGTTCTCCTGGCTAATGCTGTGGCTGTGGCGAGGGCTTTAGTAAATAAGCCAGCCGTCTCTGCCGCCGCCGCCCCCCTCCCCGCCGGCCTCAGCGCCCACAGTCTGCATGTGTGTGTGGTAGCCGGCTGCCCATCCTGCCGCCCGTGTTTCCCTGGAGCTCTGGAGACCACCGCGGGTTCTTTCTCTGCCGGTGGGAGAAGTGGCCTTGGAGGAATTGATTTCGGTGTTGGATTTTTCTCGTGGATCTATCAATTGACAATTCGAATTTGGAAGAAAGAAGGAAAACATGACGTCCCCAGCCAAATTCAAAAAGGATAAGGAGATCATCGCAGAGTACGATACTCAGGTCAAAGGTAAGGATTTTGAAAATTAGCATAGTGCATATGCTCTGCAGACTGGTGAGGCATGCGTTTCCACCCCAATTTTCAGGGCGTTCGTTTCTTGGGTGGAGCAGGTGGCAAGTTGACCCCAGGGGTGGTTTCATAGGTGGATCAAAACCTTGGAATGCTCAACAGTGTCGGGGCCACGAGCACTGGAAGTGGGCTTTGGGAGTACCGTTGTGGGGCTGGCCATTATTTTGGCAGCTTTTCCCCAAAGGCTGGGTGGGGGAGGGGCAGGAGGTTCTCCAGAGAGAGGGAAAAAAAAAAACCCTGCAATTTGCCTTTGGGTGTCTTGAGTCAGGCTTACTTGAAGGACAGCTGAAATCTGACAGGTGTTTATTTCAAAGGTTGAAGAAGTGTCCAGACAGAAAGGCAACCTTGAGAAGGTATACCATTTGGAGAGACCTGGGAGAGGCGGGCGTTTTTTGGTGTACTGTATTAAAGCATGAGATTTGCCATGAGACTGGATTCAGGAAGACCTTAGCCATATTGGGTGCACCTTGTACTTGTCTGGCCCATGGTCACCCTGCATGCAGTCAAAGATCACAGACCAGAAAGAAGACCATCCCAACTCGTTTCCATTCTCACCTAAATCTGAAGGAGTTGAACTGTTAGGGGTTTCAGAGTGGTGCTGAAACTGAAAAATAGGAAGACATAATTGTTTAACCCTTCTGTGTTGTCACTCTCTGCTCCAGAATATATGCTTTTAAAGGTTCGTTTCCCTTTCAGCAAAAATGTGAAGGGGTAAGGCAGTATGTAGACCTGGGGAAACCAAATGTTGTCTCCTCATGTGCTTAAATTGGCTTCTCAAATCGAAGCCCATAACCAAATAGCTTTTCCTTATCCAGCGTTTCCCTTGAGAGGTGTCTATGCCTGTGAAGGAGCCCTAGCCTGTGTTTGTGCAAGGCACTACCCCTTCCTGACCAGTCCCTGGGAAGAGCCATGTGGCTCTAGCCCATTGAGACCTTAGCTGGGAAGTAGGAGAGGTGGGTGGCCTTGAATGTTCCACCACATGGTTGGAGCTGAGTTTTTCCTTTGTTTCAGAGTACAGAGGGAGGGGCCCCTCCTTCTTTCCCTGCACCAAAGCTAGGAGACCTTTTCCTATCTTAGAGGACTTGGGAAAGGCCATGTCTCTTCTCAAATGATTGCCCTGGGTGTGGGCTAGAGGTAGAGTGTGAAACCGGTAGTCCTTTTATTTCTTGGAAGGTTGAAAGGTAGTTTGAAGTCATCATTGTTTCTGCAGGGTTTTTTTTTTTAATAGATATATATATATATCTATTATATATCATATATATATGATCAGTTTGGTCAATGCAGGAGGTGCCTTAAGGGACCTTCAGTCCACTTGACTGCACATATTGGTCAGTTTTATTACAAGGAGGGGTAGTTGACTGATGATAGCTCCAGCTGGGTTGGAATTGAGAGAGGCATGATTTTGAGTTATAACTTAGGTCTTGGCCTCTTGTCACCAATCATAATCCCGGCCTGTTTTTGTAAACAATGGCTACTGGCCTCTATGTCCTGTCCACAGGCACTGTATTCTGCTCTTGCAATGCCCCCCTACAGTTTTAGCCAGATATGTCATTAAAAAAAAAAAAAAAGTGTCCTATTTCTAACTGTTGCCAAAAAGGAGTGTTAATAACTTTGACTTTTCCCAGGTGGTTCTCTAGAAACACACAATTCGACTAAGGCACAAAGTGCTTATATTTTTTTTTTCTCCATTTTCTTTTATAAAGGTTCAGTGCTGGCAGGTATCAGAATTTGCTGATTTTTTTAGAAAATTGGTAACGATTTCTCATGAGTGTCTCAAAATTAAGTACTTTGTGAATTTACAAATACTGCTCATTGAGATGATGTAATGCAGCTAGCTACTTGGAGTTTCTCTTCCACCCTGCTGCAGACTAGAGACTGTTGTGTTTCGTGTCAATATTTTTTCCATTGACTCTATTTAGGAGTTAGAATTTTGTAGGTGGCTGACCCTGATTACTGCCTCAAGGAGGTGCCCCAAGAATGCTTTTGGAACTGAACTGGTTTAGTCTCTCAGTTTATAGCTAAGGAGAATGTAGAGAACTGAAGAGGTTTGTTCAAGGTCACACAGCTAGGTGGTAGCAGATCTGAAGGTAGAGGTAGCTTTATGACTTCTGTCTCTTCACAGTGGAAATATCATCTGATCATGGTGACAAAAAAATTCTTAAGGCAAAACCAGGTGACGTATAATAGTAGTGATAGGATAATCATTTTCTTTGGATGTTCTTTATGCACCATGGAATCCTAATGAGAGGTCTGGTGTAATTGTCACACCCCTTCAGGAAGTATTTTTGCCATTTGAGGACATGAGGAATCTGAGGTATGAGGGTAAAAAACCCGTTCAAGGTCACACAATCAAAAGTAGCAGCTTTACTTCCTTGTTTTATTCATTAACTCTTTATTGTGTGCTTAGTGTGTATTCTAGGACTTTATACATCTGTGAAGAAGACAGAATTCCAGACCCTTATGGAGCTTACATTCTAGGACCATACTTCTGGTGGAAGACTATAGAATTTGAATTTCAAAGGGCTTGAGGTTGGGGTTGTTGATATGGCTTACTACCTGATCTTCTATTAGAATTAAGAATTTCAGCTTTTCTTTTTTTCTTTTCTTTTTTTTTTTTTTTTTGATTGTATCTTATTTGTTTTGCTTTTTAGAAACAGAATCTCAATGTGTAGGCCAGGCGAGCCTGAATTGACTCTGTAATTCAGGTTAGCCTTGAATTCATGACAGGTCTTCCTTAGTCAACTTTGTAAGCCTGGGAATACAGGTGTGAGCCCCCACACTCTACCAGAGTTTCAGTGGAACTCAAGGTGCTGCTGGATTTACTTCTCTTATAGATGCCAAGATTAAAAAATATATATATATATATATGGCAATCAATTTGGTATGGTGGTTAAAAGTAAAGGTGTTGGAGGCTGAGAATCCAGGTTTAAACCTTTGATCTACTCTGTTACATGCCTGTCTGAGTCTCAGTTTCCTAATTGGAAAATTGGCAAAATAGTGTGGGCTTGCTATTCCTGTGAGAAATAAAGGAGCTGGTCTGTAGAATTCATGTAGTACAGTATCTGGCACCTGTGAGGATGCCGTGACTATACAGTCTACCTTCTTCAGGGAGCCTCTGTCTTGCCAACTAGTCAGGCTGCATTAAGGGATCTCTCTCAGAGCACCAGAGTAGGAGTGAAACATGTTCTCATTTGTTGAGGAGTAACAAATGTGTCAGGTGTCTGTCATTTAAATCCTTTGGCAAGGCATTATGGCTTATGCTTGTAATCCTAGTATTTAAGAGGCTGAGGCAGGAGGATTGCTGAGAGTTTGAGGCCAGCCTGGAGTAAAGTGAGATCCTGTTTCAGAAACAAAATCAAATCAAATCAAATCAAACTAACAAAACAAAGCAACCCTCCTCCTCAAACAAACCCAAACAGACCACCACCAACCAAACTCTCATACTCTTTGAAGATTAATTTCCTTTCATATGAGTAGGTAAACTGTCTGAAAAATATCATTGCATGTGTCTACCTACTTTTTAGTCAGAATTGTGTGAATCAAGTAGACTCTAAATAGACTTTGGGCTCTCCCCTATTTTGTGTCTCCTTAAAAGCACCCGCTTGCATGTGCGCTGAGGGATTTCTGAGGTCTCAGCATCAGTCCTACCCCAGTGTGGTTTTAAGGGGCAGGAGCAATGCTCCCATTAGTCAGTCTGCTGTGTGGCTGCCTTCTTAAAAACCAGCATTGTTTCTGCCTTGTGGGTGTTTAGATTCCTTTGAAAAGTTCATGTCTTTCAGTGTCCAACTCACAAGCACTAATGTTCTTAGTCTTTTTACATGACTTTTTTTTTTCAAATTTATAAAGTGCTTTTATATATATGAATTTCTGGAAATTCTTGACAGCCTTGATGAGATTCCTGATTAGAAACTGGTGCATCTGACCTCTAGCCTGTTAGCATCTTTGCTGGTACTTGAATGCTGTATGGTGGTGAAGAATGGGACATAGAATAGAGATGATTGTCTGGGTGGGACTTGGGTGAATTCATACTACTGTCCACAGTGCCACTGGGTCCTTTCTTAATTAGATGTTAAGGATTCTCTTCCCCCTTTATTATTTCAACTTTGTCCACCACTGAGCTAAGAAGTAAAATTGTTATTTATTTTATTTTTTAATTTTTTTGAGACAGGGCTTCCCTTCCCTTCCCTTCCCTTCCCTTCCCTTCCCTTCCCTTCCCTTCCCTTCCCTTCCCTTCCCTTCCCTTCCCTTCCCTTCCCTTCCCTTCCCTTCCCTTCCCTTCTTTAAGACTGTGTCTGGCTGTCCTTGAACTCTCTGTATTGATCAGGCTGGCCTCAAACTCACAGAGATCCACAAAGATGGGGTCTTACTATATATTTGTTGGACTTGAACTCACAGTGATCCTCCTGCCTTAGTCTTCCAAATCTGGGATTAGAACATACACTACTATGGCCAGAGAGAAATGAAATTTTTATAATTTGCATTTGAAACATTCTGATAGGAAAAGCACCAGCAATTTCCTGGAACAGTTTAACTTGTGGTACTCTTTGGTAGCTGGAGATGAAATTTCAACTCTAGTCATATTGTGTATGCACTTGTGCTTGGGAATGCCAATTGGTGGTATTAAACAAGCCTGTTCTCAGGGGAGGGCTGAGAAGTTCCTAGTACATGCCAACAAAGGTCTTTTCCCTGAAGTGTCTTTCCTCCCAGCCTCCACCCCTTACTCCCCAAGGAGACTTTAAATATAATCAGATTGTGAAAAGCTGCAGTAAAACAGCTCTTTGGAATCCTCAAGCAGATGCTGTTGTCTTCCCGGGAGATGACTGAATGCTCTTCTTCCCTCATTTATGGAACATAGAGACTCAGCAATAAGGTGGACACCTAGAAGAGAATGAAATTCTAGGAAAAATTCAAGTACCCCGAGTTGCAAGACCCTGAAGGAA